CGGGAAAAAAAATACCTAAAAATGTCAAAATTAATAGTACAAATGCAGGAGCTAATTTTGTAGCCCAAAATGTTGGAAATGGCATTTTCATACGAAGTCTAGGATTCAAACCTGCGGGCACTCGATGCAAATCACACACCTCGGCGAGCCAAGGTGTGCGATTTTTCACTCGCCTGCTTTTTCCCAAAACACAAGGACTGCAAATCCACCAAAATCATCGGTGTGGGCATTGGTCAGAGGAATCTCGGATTAGTAATAGTTAGTGTTGTCAATCGGTTGTAATTTCATAATCGATCATCGGTTGACCAAGTTAACCGATGATCGGCTTACAATCGGTTACTCGGGTGATTGAATGCCTGCGTGCTGCGTAACGGTCGTGTGCATGTACTGTGAACTGCTGCATCGTTATGTGCTTAGTTTAGCCCTGTTTACTGTTGTTTTGCACTGTTTTTTACTACTGTGTGTATAATACATGTTACTGCATTATCATCACTTTTCCAAGTTATTTTTTTTGATTAAATCGATTATGGATTTTTATAACCAAGCGCTTGGTTCGGGCCACTGTTCAACCGATGATAATCGATGATCGTGACATCACTAGTAATAGTATAGGAATATCTACAGGTTCACATAAAATGGCGCTCAATGTATACGACGCTCGTCACGTTTCGAATTTCTATAACAGGTCTTATATTAGTTTAATTACAGAATATTGTGATACATTAGTAAGTTCCCGGATAGCGGAGGAAAGGTCATGTTGAGAATAAAAACCAGATTTGGAAGTATCTAGTTTCTTGAAAATGACACCAGCATAACCGCCCTGAGTGATTTCACTTCAGGGGTTCTCCACACAAAAGGATAGGTCACGCTTTGTAACCTATCCTGGGTTGGGTTAATTATATGTACTCTACGGAACAACTATAGTACTTGTATCCTCCGCGACGCCGAGGAGCTGGAGGGAGGGGTACTATCGTTAATTGTCTGCCAGCCGCCGCGCCGCTCTCGGCGGCGTCCGCCGCAGAGAACTTTCCACTTCCGCTCTGTAAACTCGGCCCCCTAATTCTTGACCTAGCGCGACCAAACTGTTGTTACGTTACACATCTTGGGGAGTAAGGTGTGTTGCGTACCAAAAACAGGTTCGCTGCGACCTTTAATTTGAGCTTTCACGCTTGACCTTGATGCACTATCTTCCCTTGCCACTCTGTAAACTGCGGCCCCTACATTGACCTAGCGCTACCAACTAGGTTATACTTACACATATTGGGGAAGGAGGTGTGGCAGCGTATCAAAAACCGACGGTCACCTGCGACTTTATTTGGAATTGAGCATTGACCTTGATCATATTTCAGCTTCCACTCTATGACTCGCCCCGCTAAATTGACCAGCGCTACCAAACTTTGGTATACTTACACATCTTGGGAGAAGGTGTGCAGCGCGCGTAAGCAAAACAGGTCGCGCTGCGACCTTTATTTGACCCTTTACCTTGACGCTTGATCAATATTTCCCTTGCCGCCTATAACTCGCCCCTAATTGACCTACGGCGCTACAAACTTGGTATACTTACACATCTTTGGGAGGAAGGTCTGTCGCATAGGCGCAAAAACAACCCCGTAAAAAGCGCCCGCAGCAAAAAAGCAGTAAGATTCGCTTGTGATAGTGTGTTTTCACAGCACTTGACGACTTGACCTTTCAGTTTGAGTTGGAGCCGTCTGACTTTGATTTCTCTACAGCCTCCTACGCGTAACAGAATCGACATTACTTGCACAGTACTGCAGGCGGATCAGTTGATGTAACAAACCTCTTTCTTTGGGACTTATTAATGTTACGCTACCTTCCTACGGGCCTTACAGAGATATTTTAATTTATACTAGATCACGGGGATTACAGTGTAGTTGGCGACAACATGCCCTTTCTTAGTTTAGATTTTGATTCTCCGTGCAGCTTCCACACCGTAAATGACGGTGCGGACTCAGTAGAGCTCTGTGTTTTCCATTACAGATCTACAGATTTGCGCATGTCGTGTGTCTCCCGTGTGGAGCGAATATAGGCATAGCAGCAGCTGTAATACCATGCATGCAGATACAGCCCCACCTGGTTAATCTGGCATTGCATAGAACACACGTATAGTATACGCAATGGCATATACGCAGAGAAAGACAATAACTACTCTCTCCACCCCTGTTAGGCAATGCTGACAGATCTCAAAGAAGAAATTCCCAAGTACGAATGACATGCGTGCTCGTGTTTAATTAAACACGTGGGCTCATGAACAGAACGGTTAATCGCAATGCGTGGGAGCGCATGAGTCACAGCGTGCGGCGGACCGGCTCACTCGTTTATTTAGATTTGATTCGCTATCTTCTACGCAGCTTCCACCGTAAAATGTCAGGTGGCGACTCACGTATTGACTTCCTGTGTTCCTTACAGATTAGCATTGTTGACAACCAACGTTAAGGCGCAGAACACGGTCCGGATTCATGCATTCACAGTAGCGCGGATCGACTCGCGCGTAGCAGCCTAAAGACATAGAGCAAAACGTACTACGATACAGCAGGAGTTACGCGTCGATCTGTTCTTGTACGGGCGACCGAGCTGACGCATGGCGGATACCATCAAGGTAAATCTATACAGAATTATACAAGGTATACATGTCCACTCATTCGCAATCGAACCGTCAGTAGTAGTGTTAGCTACCTTAGCGTTATATTCTGCTGTTTGCTCTCCCTTATAACCGGTGCACGTAACAATATATATGTGTAAATACAATATTTATAATATAGTTTTCACGTATACAGGTATGGCTTTTCTACCAAAGCGTGCATGTGGGATTGCTTCCGTATTAAAAACAAAGCTCGTGTAGCCGCCGATAGTAACGTAAGTTTTTGTTAGGGTTTACGAATCGAATTGAGGGATTTGTATACCGATTTTCTCGAAACCGAACGCATAGACGAAATGTAGATCATTCCTGAGCGACTCGAATACAAACCTGTATTCTCTCTTTCTGTAACCGTGCAGCTTGGCACGTTCATTCAAGGTTCTCAACTGCCACGTGAAGCCGGTGAATGCGACGCGTGGAGGCGACAGAGGCTTGCGGCGAGCGGGCATCAAGCTCGTTGACTTTCATGGCTGCACGCCGGCATCACTGCCGGCAGGAGAATCACGTGCATGTCTGCGGGACAGCAGCGAAGCGCGAAAGCTCCAGCTGTTGAGTGCTTAACGTTAGGGGGGGACGTAGGATTTCAGTTTAAATATAACTGAGCAGCCAGGGTCATTGTCATGGTTAACGTCGGTGGAATGACAGAGGATTTAAAGAGGACTGAGTCAGGGGCTTGTTGTCGGAAAAAAATGTTCTCAATGGTACTTTTTTCTTGTGGTCTATACACTGCATATAGATAACTCGTAACTTGTAACAATGTTTCTCTCAACGGTGTAAGAGAAAAAAATAATGATAAGATTAATGTTTAGACTAATTTGGTTGTTTTTGACAAACGCGAGTTCTGGGGATGTATATGATATTAGCCTCAAAGCTGAAACTGAGTCACAGCGTGTGTGCGATCCTCTTATTGCTGTTGTTGAGCTAGATCATTGTTCAACATTAACTTATCAGGCAGTCAACAACAGCTTTGTGCTTTTGTCTGCGCATAAGCATGCACTCACAATGCACACAAGCATGTCTACGTGTATCCAGAGTATCTCCTGCTATTACAGGCAGATAAAGGACTACACTCGCAGCCACGGGCAGAACGACTTCTCTCTGCAGAACAGCCAGCAGGGCACTAGTGCGAAGTCGAGCAGCTGTGTAGATTTCACTCCTCTCGGACTCTATCCCCACGTCGAGGTGAATACTGCACGCACTGCTCGTGTAGCATATAGCACTTGGCGCGTTCACGTCGCAATACCATAAATGATAGCGTAAAAGCCGTAAACACATTGCCAACGTCGCTCAGATTAACTGTAAGTTAAGTGTATTTGTAGTACTCATTCTAATGGATAGGTAAAACACATTGCTAATTCACGCTAAATTCAATTTATAAGCATGAAAGCTTTCCTATATTTCACCATCTACAGTGTTTGCAGAGATGTTGTTATGTATATTTCAGGAGCCAGACACAGCCAGTGAGGTAGTATTTGCACGACCGAAAATAACCAGCACCCAGTTGAGTTCGGTAGGTCCTATAGAATATCACACATGTATCATGATTCTTGATTCGGTTCCATATCAGGATTGCATTATGAGCTCAGGGCACGAAATTCAGATTTTTCGTACCGGTCCAGAGTGCTGGTAGCAGCATTTTGTTACCAGCCCTCACCATAATTTGCCAGCCTTCACTTTTGTTTATAAAATAAATTTCATGTTTCACGCTTGCATTCTTGATCAAATTTGTAAAATGTTGATCCAATATAGAGTGATATCCTTCAGGTATGTAGGTTATTTGCTCATTAATGCTATAGATTGAAAATATTGGTAGCTCGCTAACACGGCTGAAACCACCGGCTCGGAGGGCCGGTCCTTTGCAATGTTACTGCACGGTCTCCAAATAATTTGCCGGCATTGCGGTGGGCCGGTGCTAATTTCGCGCCCTGTGGTGGAGTTATTATATGAACTTGTATGGGACAGTTATTATAATGAACTTGTATGTGACAGTTATTATATGAACTTGTATGTGGCAGTTATTATATGGAACTTGTATGTGGGAGTTGTTATATGACTCATGATAGCAACGTAATAATGGACGTCATGGCTGAATTCCGTTGCATTGGGTCATCATATTTTTACGACTACTCCGTCCGTGTTGATTGGCTTGTCTTAATTGTCTGCTTTTTATCATGCGGAATTAAATGAGATTGCTATAAATTAAATCAGCATTAGTGTTCACGGACTGAAACTCGGCGGTAGAGCCATTCGTTACAGTGCCATGATGCTCTACCGCTACTGAATGCTTGCCTCGCATTTGATACTAATACACTACACGTACTATCTACCCATCTGATGCCGAAGGCGTAAGTCTCACAGGATGTTTGTCGTTCATAGCAAGACGTACATGAGAGCAAAAAGCCTCGCTAAGGCCAGCCAGCAGACGTCACACTGCGTCTACCAAAGATACGTTAGGAGTGAACAAGATAACCACTTCATAGCGAAATCACAGCTGCAATGACGCTGTAGTACGCAATGGAGCGCCACTTCGCCATTTTAGGAAGCGCAAAAACCCGCTCGCGCGTGGCTGTTGATAGCATTAGAAATAATACTGGATAACCAGGTTAATATATATAATGTATATTATAATATAATGTAATAGATAATATTTTTTTATGCCAATAAGCTGCGTATCAAACATTCTCTCATTCAAGTGCTACAAAAATCTAACAATGATTCATAACTCGATTTACTATGTAGTATGTACACAGTGCAGGATGCACAGCTAGTGTGTAGGGAGCTGACTATTACGCACGGACGGAGTTTAGAAGGGAGAAGGTGGTGGAGGAGGGGGAGAAGTGGTGGAGAAGAAGGAGGGGAGAAGCTGTGGGGGAAGGAGGAAGAGGAGAAGGAGGGGAGAAGGGGAGCTTGGTGGAGGAGGAGGGGGGAGAAGGGGAGAAGGGAGCTGGTGGAGGAGGAGGTGAGAAGGAGAAGGGGATGAGGGAGGGGGAGAAGGGAGCTCTGGTGGAGGAGGAGGGGCGGACGAAGGGAGAAGGGGATAAAGAAGCCGGCGAGAAAGGGAGCTGGTGAGGAGGGGGGGAGAAGGGATGAATGCGGATTAAAGGAGGAGGGTGAGAAAGGAGGCTGGTGGAGAGAGGATGGGGAGAAGGGAGAAGGTTGTGGAGGGGGAAGAAGCGCTGTGGAGAAGGAGGAAGGGGACGAAGATGGAGAAGGTGGTGGAGAATGAGAGATGGGAGAAGGCTGGTGGAGAAGAGGTGGGGCGGAGGACAGCTGGTGGGAGAGGAAGGGGAGAAGCTGGTGGAGAAGGAGGGAGGGGAGAACGCTGGTTGTAGCTTCCTGCCTCATTCGCACGCAGCTTGCTCCCTTCCTCTCTCCGCTCCTTCTCCGCACCTCCTTCTCCTTCCTCTTCTCCACTTCTGCCCTTCCTCGCTCCCAGCAACGCTTCTTCGTCCCCTTTCCTACCTTTTCACGCAGCCGCTTGCTCCTTGCTCCACGCTTCTCCTTTCCACCATGCTTTCGCTTCCTCCTTCCACTTCTCCCTCTTCTCTTCTCAGGCCAGCTTCTCCCCTCCTGCCTATCTGCCACCGAGCCTTCTCACCTATCTCCCCTTCGCTCATTCCTAGCCACATATGCAAGTCGGCATACGGCCGCGTTGCGTATAGCCTATTGAATCTTATCCACACGGCCGCCGTAGTCGTATAACTGTATAGTCTCGGCGGCGCAGTGGTATAGTCGCTCAGACGCAGTGGGCTACGTCACAGTGCAGCTCAGGCTACTATGGACCGTTCTCAAACAAATAATGGTAATTAAACACTAAATGTAATCTACTATCCAAACGTATTAATGTTTCTCTCTACTCTATTTCGGCCCATTAATTGTCGATAACTTGCTGTAAATGCCCGTTTAAATGCTGCATCATGCAACACCACCAAGTAGTGAAGTACACCGACGTAGCCCTGTGCAGCAAACAACACTGCCACTGGTACTAACATGTATCAACAAAGATTGCACAACTCTTTCACGATGGATTTCGACAAAAAGAATTGTTTCTCACCTTCTCCGTATTCGTTGGGGAACCTGAAGAAGACAGGTCGGCGCTTACACTGACGATTCGAGTCATTTATCAGCCAGAACATAAGCCCTGAGCTGACAGCACACAGCAGACAGTTTCACAGTTAGCAGAATACAGCAAACATCCGGGAACTTCGTGGTGAACTTTGCTTCCCAAAAATGGCGGTTATGTGGCGACCCATGACCTACTACGCCTAATGATTGGAGATGGTCTATCTATGTGCCTACCGCACTCTAGAATCTTTGCTTCTCTACGTAACAGGTGCTGCCACCCTAGCCACAGCCCCCCAATGGCAACTGAAGTACAGTGTTCGCTTACAGAAGCGGTTTATTTTATAAAATTATTACCAAATTGCATCTAACAAAATATCAGTTCTTGGACATGTGGATAACTTGAATCACACATTTAGCATGTTTAGTCAAAAAGGAACAACACTCAATCTAAAAATACAACCAATCACATTCGTCATTCTAGAGCGCTTTGCAACTGTCGTTATAAACATGTGAACCGACTTCCGGCAATGTCTGTGATGTTTACAACCATTTGCGTTTATCTTCGAGTTTATAAGTTGAATTAATGAAAAATAAAACAAACAAAAAAGAAGAAAAAAAAGGTGTGCGATTTGATGCTTAGGTGCGCGTTTTTTCGCACTTCTCGTGATCAATCAAGGCGCGCGATGGCGCGCGAGCGCGCACAAGGTCTGATTTGGTGTGGGTTAGTATCCACACGAAATCTACCCCACACCAAACCACACCAAATCACCAAATCTAAAGGCCCGCCCAGGTCGGCCTACGATTTAACTATCGGCGACTACTTTAGCACCGATTAGCAGCGTAGCAACACTCATGTCGACTTGAAGTGACTACGCTGCACATCGCCGATCAGATCGTAGCGTTCCTGCATGAAACGTAGACGGGTTCGCGGCCCCAGTATTTGTACTAGCACAAGCAGTTCTTTAGCACAAATAGAGCAAGCTTGATGCCGGGACCAGTCTACATAAAATGAGTCACGGACGTACGTGACCAACAAAATGGCACTTTTCAGTAAACATCATGTAACTTCGTAAATCTATCCTCAATTTTCTGAACATCGTTATAATCATGTGCAAAATTTTTTTTTATGTGATATACGGAAAGCTTAATATATATTTGAGAAAGGGTTTGTGCAATAATCCCTCCTTGTATAAACTGCTGACAAGTGGCGTGTAGGCTGCCATTTTATTAATCACGTTACTTTTGATAATCATTTGACTTGACACGCTGCGGTGATTGGCTAGCTGCCACTCACGATTTGTCGCCGACAGCCGCATAGAAATAGAACATGTTCTATTCCTGCGATCGCAGTCGGCGACCATATTTTCGATCGTAAGAGAACTCATGTCGAGTTTGGTCGCCGATGTTTTTATCGGCGATCTGGCCGGTTTTTGACGTACCGCCAGTGTTGTGGTTAGCGTTATTACGAGAGGTGCTTATGTAGGCCCGAGAGAGGCGCACCGCTCTGCCGTTCTGCCGAATTTCCTTTGTCTACAGGATTCAGACACGCTTTGTTTCTTGTGCAATTAGAGTTAGCTTTGAATAAAACTCCTGGTTTGGTCCACTTAAGAAACTGTTCGTGTGTCGTGTTACAATTAGCCACTCTCTACATGTGTGGCGTGCGTGGCAGCGGTCCGGGAAACCAGGACTCAACAGTATAAGATTAATTTACTACACCCTAATGACTCCTACACACAGTGTACGGCCTTGCTTGCATCGGCAGTAGGTGGCTGTTGGCAATTCCCAGCTGATAACGCCAGAAGATCCCAACCGCTAGTAGCTTCCGTGATCGGGTGCGGTCCATTTTAGTCAATATTATTTGTGCTAGACGTCGAGATGGC